TTAATATGTCTTTTGTCATTACACAAATCACAACAGAGATCTCAACACCTGTGTTTCTCTGTCTCAAATGGTTCAGTAGAGCCCCAATGGTTCAGCACAGCTTCAAAAGCCTTTCAAATTGGCAAGGCCTGTCATACAAAGGGCATATGACCCAAAGAGCTCAATAGAATCCAAACAGCTCAGAAGAACTCAGAAAAACAAAGCCAGTCAGTCACCAAATGGCAGTCACCAACATGGTTCAGAAATAACCCAAACAGGTCAATGGAGCTCCAAACCTATAAAGAAGGAGAGTTAGGATTGAAGAGATGGCTTAGTGATTACGAGCACTGGTTGTTCTTCCAGAGGACACAGATTCCCAACACCTACATGGTTCCCAACACCCATCATAGCTCCATTTCCAGAAGCTCCAATGTCCTCTTCTGGCCTCTTTGGGTATTACATGATATGGGTACACTTATACACAGACAAAACACTCATACACATAAAATTTTAAAAATAAATAAGAAGGAAAATCCAAGGTGCACAGATTAGGGAGAAACTTATCAAGGATCAAACTTTCTCAAGTGTCTAAAACAAGTCCAAATACTCATTCCCCTACTTCACCAAATAGAGGCAGAAAGCACCTTATGCCAGCTGACATGGGAACATGAGAAAAAGTCCCCAGAACAAAGTAATTCCAGCAGCTATATGGAACCCTTCAGTCTTTATTCTCCATCTCAGGTTAATTTGCTCTAAGTGATTGACACCAAAACACAGAGAAAGGAGATTTATTCAACATGGTCACATTGGGAAGAGGAGCAAACAAAGAGGTACACACACACACACCACAGCTCCATCTTTGAGGTCTTGCTTTGAGATTTACTTTTAAATAGAGGGAAAGAGGTCTGCATAACTGTGAAGTCCTGGTCAGGGTGTGGTCCTGCCCATCACTGACCCATCATTGTCTCAACTCCAATCTCCTGAAAGATGAGGTGATGTCAGAACTGTATGAGGCAGGATAGAAAGACAGGAAGAAGGGAAAGATATTTCTCATCCTGGAGTCTAGTTTTCCTCCTCTGACTGAGAGTCAAGAAACTTCAATACAACTGATAGAGCCCAAATCACTTCCACATATATACTATGTGTTACCCTAAAGACAACTTCAGCAAGGATATTAACAAGCAGACCCGAACATTCTTTCTTTGGGTCAGAATGTTTGTGACCTTGAGTTTTGCTATATTAGCACTCCTCTTTCATCCTTAAATCTAAACAGTACACCCCATAAAACCACCTTACAATTCCATTTACAAAATAAAATCCAGATAAAAATAAGTAAACTAGCTCATACAATTTTACTTAATGTTTAAACATTACTTAAATTTTGTTTTTACTTAATCTTTAAACCTTGTTATAAATTTCATCCTTTGAAAGATATCACTTAAAATGCCACTTTATATCCATTATAAAGACACCTAGGACTGAGAGATAGCTTAGTTCGTAAAATGCTTGCTTACAAGCATAAGGACCTGAGCTGATCCCCCAAACCCACATTTTTAAGAAATCTAGGCGTGGCGAAACATGCTTGTATCCCAGTGGTGTGGGGACAGAGAGAGGTGGAGCTCCCCAGCCAGCCAGTGTAGCTTACTGGTTGCCTGCCCCCTCCTCGACAAAAAAAAAAAAATGGTGAACGGTGCTTGATGAATGACACCCATGGTTGTCTTCTGGCCTTCACACACACATGCACCAACACACATAAGAATACCAGCCCCCTCCACATACACAAACAGATACCTAAGCAAGACTCTCAAGAAGCCAGCACTTGTGATCTGGGATTGTGTACTGTCATTTCCCCATATGACTATCTGTGTAAATACTTAATAAACTCACTGTTTGCTCCACTCTGGCTCATCCTGAAATTCCTTTCTGTGATATAGTCAAGGACCCAGCTTTACCTGAGTAGAGGTACCTAAGGAGATAGGGAACTCCTCAGGCTTCTGGAAGCAGTGCTGGGCTGTACCTCCCAGCTGACACTGACAAGAACCATTTTTGGAAGTATATTATGAAGACAGATATGTAAAAAATGAGTATGACCACATCAAACAGCCTTTGAGCTATGAGACTGTTCTTTGACTAAATTCTTATCTAAACTGACTTATTTACCTCCAAGAGATATATTTTTAAAATGAAACCCAAGCAACACCTCAAATGTAAATGAATAGAGCCCATCAGAGTCATGAAGAAGTTTCATAAAATATACATAATATACTTCTGACTTTTCTTACAGCCTTTTCAGTGGCTGAATTAATGTCTGGATGCATAACAAAGTAGTCTCTAGATTAGCATATTAATTTCTAAGAGGACAGTTTATGTGTTCAAGCAAATAAAAAACTGACAAATATTTACACCTATTTGGACAAATCGTAGTCCAGATTTAAGTGGCCAAATTCAAACATAAGTTGGAAGGGGAAACATGAAAACTCTGCAAAAAAAAAAAAAATTCTATAGTAGGGTGTACAGACATTGCTCAGCAGTTAAGAGAATGTATTGCTCTTGTAGAGGACTCAGGTACAGTTCCCAGCACCCCTGTCAGGTGGCTCAAATTACCTGTAACTCCAGCCCAGGGATCCAACACCCTCTTCTGGCCTCTGCAGGCAGCTGTACTCACATGGTGCATATAAACTCATGTAAGCACAGGCACACATAAAAATATAAATCTTTAAGAAATAATTTAAAGATACCCAATAGACATTTTTGTCAGACAGTATAAAAGAAGAGGAAATTTAGACAATAATCTTTCCATATAGCAAAGAAAATAAGAATTCTGTGAGATAGAATTTAAAAACACAAAATATAATTGTTAAGGATGCGATGATGTAAACAGATAAAATACTTTTAAAGAAATAATGCTATTGAATTTAAAATTATACTTAAACTAGCAAACAGTAAAATAAACGTTAAAGTAATCAAATATCTGAAGAGAAGAATTAGGAAGCGTGTACAAGATGCAGTGTTACGAGACAAAGTTGACAAGATTAAACAAGGCGGTGCACTGAGGAAAGAGCAGATGCTTAGCTCCATAACTGTTTCAAAAAGCAAAGAGAATAAACTGAATGAATGGACTGAAAAAGAGACATAGGATGCTACTTTGAACAACTGAAACTCTCTATTTCTTGATTTTTACTTATATGAGTGAATATATTGTCCCAATTCATCAAACTGCACATTTAAAATGAGAATATTATGTTATAAATAAATTATCCCTCAATAAAACAAAGTCAAAAAGAAAACAAAACCTAATGCTGAAGTTCAAGATATCAAAAATGTAATTGCCAAAATAACTGAGAAACGAGCTTTTATAAATGCAACAAATATTAATCATAAGTAACTTAAATATAAAATACTAGTTTAGGGGTATGCGGATGGTGTGATGTGCACGTTTGTGGGGGCACATGTATGTGAGCATATAAGTAGGAGCCCGAAGTTGATATGAGGAGTCCTTTTTGATCATTTCTACCTTACTTACTGAGGCAGAGTTTTTCAACTGAACCCAGAGCTCACTAATATGGCTAATCTAGTTAGCCGGCCTGCTCTGGGGATCCATCTTCCCAGTGGTGAAATTATAGGTGGTGGATTTGAACTATGGTCCTCAAGCCGCTAGGCAAGTGCTTTATGCACTGAGCCATTCCTCTAGCTACTCAAAATATTAGTTTCTAAAGATAATAGTAATTAGATATATGAAATAATTTATCAAACTGTGTTCACATCGATGAGTGCTGTACACTGCCATCTCTGCTCCTATTTATTTTTCTCAGCTGACAACCTTTAGTGATTTTGAAGTGATGACCTATACTATTAACTCTTTTAACTTTTGTGTCTATGAAATGCCTTCATTTTGGTGTCATTCTTGAATGACTACTGCATAAATAATATTAATTGAGATGTTTGCTATGATGTGGAAAGATTCTAAAGCAGTGAATTAAAATACTAACCACTTGGGGCTGGAAAGATGACTCAGCAGTTAAGAGTACGGCTACTCTTGCAGGTGATCTGGGCTCAGTTCCTAACACCTACGTAGTGGCTAACAACGATCCATAACTCCAGTTCCAGGGAATCCAACACCCTCTTCTGGCCTCTATAGGCATTGCATGCATGTGGTGCACATTCAGGCAAATACTCATACACATAAAACAAATTTTTTTAAATCAAAATAAAATTTCAAGAATGAAAGAATCTGATACACATATTTTTAAAAATAAAATAAAATACAAACTACTTGAGGACAAGGAAAAGCTGAATGTCTTGCTGTCAATATCGTCTGGAAACACTTAAGAAAGCAATAAAATGTTGGCATGGCCGCTAGGCATACTTGGAAGAGTTCAGCTTTGAACACTTCCTTCACATCAGGTGGCAAGATCTATTTTCTATCTGCTAACTGACTTCCCTCATAACAAACAATGTTTAACTCTCCTGTGTTTCCTACTGGTTAATAGTGACTCAATATATTAGAAATATTTAAAAATAAAGACTAGCTTTATTCTAGGCTAGAGATGTTACTCACTTGGTACAGTGCCTAGCATGCATTAAACGCTGGGTTCCATCACAGCACTGCATAGAGTCAGGCATGGTAATTATGTCTGTGATCCCAGCACTCAAAAGGTAGAGGCAGGAAGGATCAGAAGTTCAAGGTCATCTTCAATTACAGAGGGAGTTCAAGGCCAGTCTGGGCTACATAAGATCCTGTCTCAAAAAAACAAAAGCAAAGGACAAGGAAACTCTTTTTGGCCTGTTTGAAGCTCTCTAAGGCACATTTCTGTCTGTCGTCTTAGCTGAACACTGAACTCTTGAGCATCTTTTCTAGTTCTACTTGTTCCTTCAAGAATCGTTGACTTAGTGGGCACTACAGATTAGCTGTTATATTTGGTGTTTTCTGTCTGTTATTTTAAACTTTTCTAAATAGCAAAATATTTGCCTTTTATGAAAATCTTATCATTTCAGATCGAGATGGAAACAAAACTAAGCACATGTGCTCTACTGACCTCTTCGCAGATTCTGTTGAAAAAGAGTAATTTATTCTAAAACTTTTAACATTTTACACTGTTTGAGGACAACCCCCAGAGGATGAATTCTGCCTTTTATAGCAGAACAGAATGAATTTATTCTTTACTAATATTTAGTCCTATAGTAAATCCAAAGAGGGGTCCAAGACCACTCAGGTAGTAGGTCTGGAACACAGTCAAATGGAGAGGATATAAAAAAATAAAGACAGGTGATATTTATAATTTTGTAGTGGGCACAAAGTCAATTACACTGCCACATGGAGGTGGAAAAACCAGCTTCTTTTTGCATTAAGTTCAGAACTTTCTCATAAGCCTCTCTGTCTAATGAGGGGAAAGCTCTATTTTCAACTTTGGAGCGATGATTTGGGCGCTTTAGATTTAACTCATCCTTCTGTTTCTTTCCAAGACAATATCTGAGGAACACACATGAGAGAGGGGCTTGATGAACTCTGTGAAAAGGAAGGAAAGGTGCCTGCCCAAGGTCAGGGCCAGTCCCTGTGCTGCCCCCAGGTCTGGTGACCACAGGGTCTCCTCCCAGGTGCTCTGTGGCTGATAAAACCTGTAGCTCATGGGCTCATGGTCTGTTCTCCAGAAAGTTGGTAAAGGCCCTCTCCTAGCACTCACTGATGTAACAGGCTTTCTGAGATCAGGTCATCTCTTCCATCTTTGTCACTGGACGAGGTTGTCTGTACCTCATGCTTGCCAAGTAAGTGCTACAGTTAGCACAAGCCCACAGTGACAAGTTATTTGGCAAGTCTAAATTCATTGCCTATGTCATGTGTGAACCAAGAGAGGCCTGGAATGAAAACCATCTTCTTTCTGCCTGCAAACGCTATTGCTTCCTCTTAATGAAACTGTCATGTTATGAAGCTGCCCTGCAGAGCCCCAGTGAAGGCTGTGGCAAGCACCCCTCTGCCTGTAGTCCTCTTGTAGCCTCCATGGCATACTCCTCACTCAAAAGCAGCAGGCACCCAGGTAACTGCCTGGCTTCTACCTCTGCTGCTGCTGCTTTTCCCACAAAACAGGCAGGAAAGAATGGCCTTACCAGGGTTAGTGGGAATGTTGACTCTACAAAGGGGGGGGGGCGCAGAGAACTGACTAGCTGCAATCATCCTCATAAACTGTTCACTAAACTGTGTTCATTTTCAGAAGAAGATGTCCTCCAGAGGGCAATGATTTTAAAACAAAAGAAAATAAGTCGACCAGAAATTATCAACCAAGTGCACACCATCCAGTAAGAACTAACATCTTGGTCCCCTTGTGCTTCGAGGATGAACTGGAAAATCCAAACACCAAGATACTTGACATTAATCCAACAGAGACAATAACTACTCTCATGGTAATCTGTTGCTGAGTAAATATGAACACAACAGGCTTCTGAGACTCAAAGCTAGAGACAATGTAGCTTGAAAACTGCCCTGTTAGGAATCAGCTCAGGCTGCTTTGCTAGGCACAGGCACTGCCACAGGTCGTCATTAACAATTGTGATGCTGGAGAGGAAATCTGCTTTCTAAGTCTACTATAGCTATCCTCATAATCCCTACCTTTTCACAGTACCTCCTTCTGAACTGAAGGCTCTTATAGGTATATCTGCACTGCAGACCCTAAGTCCTATGCCCTAGCCCCAGGAAGGCTGGTAAAGGTGGTTTCTATCTCTATCTAGCAGCACATAGAAATATAGGGTGGAAAATTCTCTACAGTGTTAGATAAACCAAAAATAACACAAAGGCCACTATTGCAGCTAAGTGGGGAGTATTTTCATCACCAGTGGATCAAAAAATTGGGTCTTTGGTCATCTTTTCAGGAATCAGCCACTACATACCTTTCTAATTTCTGATTTTATAGTTTTATCCTCGGCAAGGCCACACCTGGCTTGCTGTCCAGTGCTCATTCTGTCTCACTGCTCTTGGTCCCTGCACCGTCTCTTCCTCATTTCATTCTAGCTAGAGACCTTCAAGCTGTAGCCAGCACCAGAAATGTACTTATTGCCTCATATCTCACCTTATTTCAGAAAGAATTTAAGAAGGCCAAAGTTTCAGATTTTAGGCCTAATAAAACTATAGGACATTGAGAAGGGAGTATGTCACATAAAGACATTTGATGTAGTGTAGTACTCTTATCATTGATGCTGTATACCTCTACGGAGTCATTTTAAAATATTTTAAAATTTTATTTTCATGCTTAAAAATATATTTATAGCTTTCTTTCCTTGGTAGGTTTATAACTAAGTATTGTTTTCTTTGATCCATAGGAACAAGGTCATGCAAATCCCATAGTTTTCCATGATACAGAATTTACACAGATGTTGCTTTTGATGAAAAGGATCACTCCATATACTACAATAGTTCAAAGAAAAAACCTTGTTTTAGAAAGAAATTGCACAATACTCAAAGCTTTATTTAATGAGGAGCCTAGTACTGTTTCCACGCCTAAAGCGTGGACATTGGATATGCGAGCCCTGTCTTCTGAAGGGCCCACAGACATGTAAAGGAGAAATGAAAGAAGAAAAATGACAGTCTGCCTTCAGAAAAAAGACCATGGAACACACTTTATAATTTATCCCAAACTCTTTCCAGTCTAACAAAAAAATTTGTGGGTTACTTTGATAAAGCTGTTATTCAAGAAAAGACTGCTAACTTAGGAGAACTTGAAAGAATGTTTTCTACGGTGACAGAAATACATGACAAACACAACAAATTCAGTGCCTCTCCTATCACGTATGGTTCAAAGCCTTTAAAAAACATAACTCAAAATACATAAACAACGTAACTCACCTGGATAATGTGTTAAACTCACGTGAAAAGTAAATTACTTATAGATTATCATTTATATAGCAATATTTGGGAAATAAGAAGCAAAGAGCCAAGTTCCAAGAGCATAGAAGAAATTCTTAACTAATAATGTTCAGATGAATGGAGTAAGCAATCAAGAGTAGTCTGTTCAAGATCATCAACACTGTTTTCCAATGCTAGGACAAAATTAAGAAATAATTAACAAGAGGAATTCATTCCTGATGTTTCTCAGTTACATTGATCAGTCATCCTCATTGCTATAGTACCATTTGATTCGGTACCTATACCATAGACTGAAAAGAAAGTTGCTGTTTGAAGCCAAATAACATCAACAACCTCATCCTATGATTGAATATCAAGACAAATGTACCATTACTTTACTGAATACGGAGCTAATCGTAGATCATTATTTTAGACAATCATGGGAAAAGAGTATCACAAGTGATTTATGTAATTAAAAGGGCTTTGAAAAAAAATGTTACAGATGTTGAAATTACATTACCATATTGCTTTTTCCTAGCACAACTTTAGACTTCTTTCTGAGTTGTTGAAAAACTTAAATGAGTAATTTATCCATAGTAGGTTAAATAATTTTGGTAGTAAATCCGATCAAGTGTTGAGTATTTTAAAGTGTATTGTTACATTTTCACCCTTTCTTATTGACTCAAAGAGTATAGAGATTAAATTCATCTTGAAGCAAGTTGGTTCTAAGTTCATTTGATGCATTTCTTTGAAATCCTGAATGTTATTTCACATAAAAGTAATATTTGAAGGCAGGAAGCTAGGGAGTTCATTAGTATGATACTTTAAAATTTTTCATTTATTTTTATTTTATGTGTATGAGTGTTTTGCCTGCATGTATGTAAATGCCTGAAGAAGACAGGAGAAAGCATCAGATCCCTGGAACTGGAGTTATAGATGTTTGTTAGCTACCATGTGGATGCTGGGAACTGAACCTGTGTCCTCTGCAGGAGTAGCTTGTGCTCTTAACTACTGAATCATCTCTCCAGCCCCCCAACTTTTTTAGTATACACAAAACCCTTGTCAATTCCAGCATGCCAAAGTAGAGTTAGGAATGATAAATTCCAAAATTAGCTTGCAAAAGACTTTACCATTTTATCACATTTAATGTGAAAAGTAATGTTTATAACTCCAATAATTAAAAAAACTAAGTGGGAAAAGGATCTTTGAGTCAGGACTAGCACTTGAGGACAAGCAGGGTGGGTTAGAAGCACTTAGTAAAGGGAGGCAGGAGGCCCCCAGTGGCTTAGCTATATAGGAGGCAGGGCAGGAGCCTGCAGTTCCTTCTTGGTGTCTCCTGTAGAGGTGGCCTGTGGCTGGTGAAGCATCAAAGAAAAAATTCACTCTTGGTGTTGTAAGTGAGCGCAATCTGTTTGAGGTGTTCTGAGTTCTTTCAGAACTGTGCATATATCAAATAAAGGGCCCCCTCATATTTATTGAACAGCACATCAAGCATAGTCTTCAGAAGGCATTAGCAATCTTCCATAACAGTTTTTTACAAAGGGAGAAGTTGTTTTTCTGACTCTACTGACTCAGAATGGCATACAAAACCATAACCATGCCATCAACCTATGCTCACATGTTGCTTCCAAAATTTGTAGGGAACACATTTTTTTCAATGTCATTGCTCTTTTCAGCAGGGTGGTCTTAGGTCTAATTACCACAGCTCATGCACATACACATTGTTCTGCGTTAGGGGCATAAATAAGTCACAAAGAAACAAGGACTATGGTATAAGGGTAAAGCTATGCATTCAAGTTAGCTTGTAAGAGTAATTATACCTAGATTCCAAAGTATTGTAAGACTGATTGCATTGTTTTTCTTAAAGGTCAGTTGATTCTAAAAATCTGGGTACTCATATGTAAACACAATGAATACATAGTTTAAAATAATTTTTAAAATGTATGATTAAAATGGTTAAAAGGTCACACAAAATTTCAGTTTGTAAAGGCTTGTCACGAAGACTCATTCTCAGAAGTCATCCCCACAGGGCCAAGCCACAGCAGCTCAAACACATCTCTCCTCTTTCCCACCTTGATCTTTTATTGATGTCATTCACCTCCTTTTCTCTCCTTTCAGGTTAACTGAAAAGCAGAACAATTTCTCTAATTCCCTTGTGAGCTCGGAAAAAAAAAAAACCACAAACTCTTTTGAAGCACTAACAATATCAAGAAGTAGAAGTTATATCTAGTAACATGTTCAAGAACAATGAGATTTCTCCCCGATACTCTACATAAGAGAAGAAATGTGGAACTAGGAGAGATGGCTCAGTGGTTAAGAGAGCTGGCTGCTTTTGCAGAGGACCTCAGTTCAATTCCCAGCACCCATATGACACCTAACAACCATCCATAACTCCAGTTCCAGGGGATCCAACACTCTTTTCTAGCCTCTGTGGGTACATTTACACACATGCAGGCAATATACTCATACACATAAAATAATAATTTGGGGGGGAGGCTATGGGAGGGTGCCAGTGGACATGGGGGTATAAGTAAGGATAATTAATATTGTTTGAGATGCTCTGTATAAAATACACAAAAATTCAATAAAAAATAATTTTTTTAAAAAAGGAGGAAGAAATGTGGGCCTCAGCAGACAGAAGTGAACTTGTAAAAGTATCTGTTTCTCAGTTTGCTGTCAAGATGTGGACAGCAGTACTTACTACAATATTATCCAGATTAAACAAAACAATGCCTAGTATTTTGAGCATTGAAGCATTCAATAAAAATTCTTTTTCTATCCCATTTCCCCTTGTAAAATTTCCCATTTTATATTATGACTGCTCATAATATAACTTCTTAAAGGATGTCCTCAGAAGTTATCCACTCTGTTTTTTTCTAAATTAAATAATAAACCTAACTACACTATCAGGTTTTAGGCTAAAGAACTCATTATTTTTGGTAGGTTCTGTGGGGGCATATGAGCTTTCTTCCTTAAGAGGGAACTAAATAAGGGATAGGTATGTAGTTCAGTCTCTTATCTAGCATGAGTGTAACCCTAGGTTCAATCTTCAATACCAAAAGAAAAAAAAAAAAAATTAAGCTGGGCACAAGTTCAAAGCCAGACTAAGATTTACAGTGAGTTGAAGGCTAGCTCAGAATATGTCAAGAGTCCTATCTCAACATTTCTCATCTGCTTCCTTCCAAAGGAAAAGGCAATAAATAAAAAAAAGTTTAGTGTTTTATTTATTATTTTAATTGTATGTGTATGAGTGTATTGCCTGCATGTATGTGAATGCACCTGTGTTGTGCCATGTTGCGGAGGTAAGAAGAGGGTGTCGGATTCCCCTGGAACTGGAGTTAAGGATGGTTCATAGCTGCCATGTGGGTGCTGGGAATCGAACCCAGTCCTCTGATAGAGCAGTCAGTGCTCTTAACCACTGAACCATCTCTCCAGCCCCAATAAATTTTAAAATTATATTTGGGCTAGGCCCGGAGAGATGGCTCAGTGGCTAAGAGCACTGACTGCTCTTGCAAAGAACCTGGGTTTGATTCCCAGCATCCATATGGTGGCTAACAGTCATCTGTAACTCCTGTTCCAGGGGAAGGAATCTGACACCCTCTTCTGACCTCCTCGGGCACTGCATGACACAGGTGCACTTACACACATGTAGACAATATACTTATATACATAAATTAAAAATAATAAAATATTTTTACAAATTAATTTGGGTCATGTGTGGGTGACTCTCTCCTTTGAGAGGATGAAGCAGGAAGATCATGAGTTTGAGACCAGCCTGGGCTACAGAGTAAGATCTTATCTCAAAAAATACATTTGACTGAAGATTCTCTCTCAAAGAGACTACAGGAGAGCACTGAAATCTGAGGTAGAACCTAAATTTTGCAGCTTTCTCTTTTGTTTTCATATCTACTGTATCATCTTTTCAAAAAATATTTTATGGGGCTGGAGAGATAGCTCAGTGGTTAAAAGCATTGACTCCTCTTGCAGAGGACCTGGCTCTTGCAGAAGACCCGGGTTTAATTCCCAGAACTCACATGGCAGCTAACAACAATCCTAACTCCATTTCCAGGGGATCCAATGTGCTCTTCTGACCTCCACGGGCATTGCATGACACAGGTGCACTTATGTAAGTGCTCTTAACCGCTGAATCATCTCATCAGCCCCTGTATCATCTTTTTAAAAAATTATTTTTATGTGTATATGTGTATGTCTGTGCGTGTGTGTGTGTGCGTGTGTGTGTATGAGCATGTGTGGGGGTGCCCATGGAGGCTATAAGAGGGCATCAGAGCTCCTGGAGCTGGAGTTACAGGCCACTTGACATGGGTACTGGGAACCAAACTTGGTCCTCTGCAGGAGAAGCACATTTCTTAGGTGTGGAGCCATTTCCCAGCCCTGTCTTTTAAATCCACAGCTGTTGGGGTTGTTCAGCAATGGGGTCAAGGTAAGACTGTGATTTTATTCTGATACTGAGATCTGAACACTGCCTTTAAGACCAGCCTGCATCCCAGGCAATAATGGAGATGGTACTGTACTAGGGGACCAGTTGGCCAGTGTGGTCTGTGGATCACCTCCATGGGAAGTCTGTCTTCAGTTCCATATAAATCATCCTGGTCTTGTCTCTGAGGAGGACTTGAAGGGACCACTAAGCCTTTAATAAAGCTGTCAGATTCATGAATTTTCCTTCAGACACCTCATTAACAGATTTGTCTTATTTTATTCCTTTTTAAAATTTTTATTATTGTGTGTAAATGGATTCAGGGGGGCATATCACATGGCATACATGCAGAGGTCAAAAGACACCTTTGTGGAGTCATTTCTCTCTTCCACCTTAACATGGGTTTTGGAGATCAAACCCCTGCAGCCAGGCTTGCATGGCAAGTGCTTTTACCCACTGAATCATCAAGCCAGCACCTGTTTGTTTCTTTAACATAAGCAGGAGACCTCAGACTGTCTCCAACTTTTAGTTCCTACCCAACAAATGCTAGTATGATTTTATATAAATAAGCCACATCTTAATGTGGGAATATAGTGAA